GGCTTAGGGAATTTTTCAAAAAAATCTTTTTCGGCCGGTTAAGTGGTCGAGGGCTGATTTCTTGTACTGTGAGAAAAAGCCTTCTGTTTCGATTGCCAAACCTTTCAGGGGAGCATTTGCAAACGTTTGGCACCATTTTTGAGTGAATTTCCAAAAGTCAGATTTTTGCTGAAATTGTGACCCGGGGCTTAGGGATTTTTCAAAAATATTTTCCGCCGGTTATTTTGCTGAGGGCTGATTTATTGTTCTTTGATGCAAAGCCTTATGATTCGACTGCCAAACCTTTCAGGAGAGCATTTGCAAGCGTTTGGCACCATTTTTGAATGAATTGCCAAAAGTCAGATTTTTGCTGAAATTGTGACCCTGGGGCTTAGGGATTTTTTCAAAAAATGTTTTCCGCTGGGTAAGTGGTCCAGGGCTGATTTCTTGTCCTTTGATGAAAAGCCTTCTGTTTCGACTGCCAAACCTTTCAGGGAGCATTTGCAAGCGTTTGGCACCATTTTTGAATGAATTGCCAAAAGTCAGATTTTTGCTGAAATTGTGACCCCGGGGCTTAGGGATTTTTTCGAAAAATATTTTCCGCCGGTTATGTTGCTGAGGGCTGATTTCTTGTCCTTTGATGAAAAGTCTTCTGTTTCGACTGGCAAACCATTCAGGGGAGCATTTGCAAGCGTTTGGCACCATTTTTGAATGAATTTCCAAAAGTCAGATTTCTGCTGAAATTGTGACCCCGGGGCTTAGGGATTTGTTCAAAAAATATTTTCCGCCGGTTATGTTGCTGAGGGCTGATTTCTTGTCCTTTGATGAAAAGCCTTCTGTTTCGACTGCCAAACCTTTCAGGGAGCATTTGCAAGCGTTTGGCACCATTTTTGAGTGAATTGCCAAAAGTCAGATTTTTGCTGAAATTGTGACCATGGGGCTTAGGGATTTTTTCAAAACATATTTTCCGCCTGTTATGTTGCTGAGGGCTGATTTCTTGTCCTGTGATAAAAAGCCTTCTGTTTCGACTGCCAAACCTTTCGGGAGAGCATTTGCAAGCGTTTGGCACCATTTTTGAGTGAATTGCCAATAGTCAGATTTTTGCTGAAATTGTGACCCCGGGGCTTAGGGATTTTTTCAAAAAAATCTTTTTCCGCCGGTTAAGTGATCGAGGGCTGTTTTCTTGTCCTTTGATGAAAAGCCTTCTGTTTCGACTGCCAAACCTTTCAGGGGAGCATTTGCAAGCGTTTGGCACCATTTTTGAGTGAATTGCCAAAAGTCAGATTTTTGCTGAAATTGTGACCCCGGCGCTTAGGGATTTTTTGAAAAAGGATTTTCCACCGGTTATGTTGCTGAGGGCTGATTTCTTGTCCTTTGATGAAAAGCCTTCTGTTTCGACTGCCAAACCTTTCAGGGGAGCATTTGCAAGCGTTTGGCACCATTTTTGAGTGAATTGCCAAAAGTCAGATTTTTGCTGAAATTGTGACCCGGGGCTTAGGGATTTTTCAAAAAATATTTTCTGCCGGTTATGTTGCTGAGGGCTGATTTCTTGTTGTTTGATGAAAAGCCTTCTGTTTCGACTGCCAAACCTTTCAGGGGAGCATTTGCAAGCGTTTGGCACCATTTTTGAATGAATTGCCAGAAGTCAGATTTTTGCTGAAATTGTGACTCCGGGGCTTAGGGATTTTTCAAAAAATTTTTTCCGCCGGTTAAGTGATCGAGGGCTGATTTCTTGTCCTTTGATGAAAAGCCTTCTGTTTCGACTGCCAAACCTTTCAGGGGAGCATTTGCAAGCGTTTGGCACCATTTTTGAGTGAATTTCCAAAAGTCAGATTTTTGCTGATTTTGTGACCCGGGGGCTTTGTTATTTTTTCAAAAAATATATTCCGCCGGTTATGTTGCTGAGGGCTGATTTCTTGTCCTTTGATGAAAAGCCTTCTGTTTCGACTGCCAAACCTTTCAGGGGAGCATTTGCAAGCGTTTCGCACCATTTTTGAGTGAATTGCCAAAAGTCAGATTTTTGCTGAAATTGTGACCCCGGGGCTTAGGGATTTTTACAAAACTCATTTTCGGCCGGTTATGTTGCTGAGGGCTGATTTCTTGTCCTTTGATGAAAAGCCTTCTGTTTCGACTGCCAAACCTTTCAGGGGAGCATTTGAAACCGTTCAGCACCATTTTTGATGGAATTGCAAAAAGTCAGATTTTTGCTGAAAGTGTGACCCTGGGGCTTAGGGATTTTTTCAAAACATATTTTCCGCCGGTTATGTTGCTGAGGGCTGATTTCTTGTCCTTTGATGAAAAGTCTTCTGTTTCGACTGCCAAACCTTTCAGGGAGCATTTGCAATCGTTTGGCACCATTTTTGAGTGAATTGTCAAAAGTCAGATTTTTGCTGAAATTGTGACCCTGGGGCTTAGGGATTTTTTCAAAACATATTTTCCGCCTGTTATGTTGCTGAGGGCTGATTTCTTGTCCTGTGATTAAAAGCCTTCTGTTTCGATTGCCAAACATTTTGGGAGAGCATTTGCAAGCGTTTGGCACTATTTTTGAGTGAATTGCCAAAAGTCAGATTTTTGCTGAAATTGAGACACCGGTGCTTAGGGATTTTTTCAAAAAAATCTTTTTCTGCCGGTTAAGTGATCGAGGGCTGATTTCTTGTCCTTTTATGAAAAGCCTTCTGTTTCGACTGCCAAACCTTACAGGGGAGCATTTGCAAGCGTTTGGCACGATTTTTGAGTCAATTTCCAAAAGTCAGATTTTTGCTGAAATTGTGACCCCGGGGCTTAGGGATTTTTTCAAAAAAATATTTTTCCGCCGGTTAAGTGATCGAGGGCTGATTTCTTGTCCTTTTGATGAAAAGCCTTCTGTTTCGACTGCCAAACCTTTCAGGGGAGCATTTGCAAGCGTTTGGCACCATTTTTGAATGAATTGCCAAAAGTCAGATTTTTGCTGAAATTGTGACACCGGGGCTTAGGGATTTTTTCAAAAATATTTTCTGCCGGTTATGTTGCTGAGGGTTGATTTCTTGTCCTTTGCTGAAAAGCCTTCTGTTTCGAATGCCAAACCTTTCAGGGGAGCATTTGCAACCGTTTGGCACCATTTTTGAATGAATTGCCAGAAGTCAGATTTTTGCTGAAATTGTGACTCCGGGGCTTAGTAATTTTTTCAAAAAAATCTTTTTCCGCCGGTTAAGTGATCGAGGGCTGATTTCTTGTCCTTTGATGAAAAGCCTTCTGTTTCGACTGCCAAACCTTTCACGGGAGCATTTGCAAGCGTTTGGCACCATTTTTGAGTGAATTTCCAAAAGTCAGATTTTTACTGAAATTGTGACCCCGGGGCTTAGGGATTTTTTCAAAAAATATTTTCCACCGGTTATGTTGCTGAGGGCTGATTTCTTGTCCTTTGATGAAAAGCCTTCTGTTTCGACTGCCAAACCTTTCAGGGGAGCATTTGCAAGCGTTTGGCATCAAATTTGAATGAATTGCCAGAAGTCAGATTTTTGCTGAAATTGTGACTCCGGGGCTTAGGGATTTTTTCAAAAAATCTTTTCCGCCGGTTAAGTTAAAGAGGGCTGATTTCTTGTCCTTTGATGAAAAGCCTTCTGTTTCGACTGCCAAACCTTTCAGGGGAGCATTTGCAAGCGTTTGGCACCATTTTTGAGTGAATTTCCAAAAGTCAGATTTTTGCTGAAATTGTGACCCCGGGGCTTAGCGATTTTTTCAAATAAAAATTTCCGCCGGTTATGTTGCTGAGGGCTGATTTCATGTCCTTTGATGAAAAGCCTTCTGTTTCGACTGCCAAACCTTTCAGGGGAGCATTTGAAACCGTTCAGAAGCATTTTTGAAGGAATTGCAAAAAGTCAGATTTTTGCTGAAATTGAGACACCGGTGCTTAGGGATTTTTTCAAAAAAATCTTTTTCCGCCGGTTAAGTGATCGAGGGCTGATTTCTTGTCCTTTTATGAAAAGCCTTCTGTTTCGACTGCCAAACCTTACAGGGGAGCATTTGCAAGCGTTTGGCACCCATGTTGAGTCAATTTCCAAAAGTCAGATTTTAGCTGAAATTGTGACCCGGGGCTTAGGGATTTTTCAAAAATATTTTCCGCCGGTTAAGTGATCGAGGGCTGATTTCTTGTCCTTTGATGAAAAGCCTTCTGTTTCTACTGCCAAACTTTTCAGGGAGCATTTGCAAGCGTTTGGCACCATTTTTGAGTGAATTGCCAAAAGTCAGATTTTTGCTGAAATTGTGACCCTGTGGCTTAGGGATTTTTTCAAAAAATATTTTCCGCTGGTTATGTTGCTGAGGGCTGATTTCTTGTCCTTTGATGAAAAGCCTTCTGTTTCGACTGCCAAACCTTTCAGGGGAGCATTTGAAACCGTTCAGAACCATTTTTGAAGGAATTGCAAAAAGTCAGATTTTTGCTGAAAGTGTGACCCTGGGGCTTAGGGATTTTTTCAAAACATATTTTCCGCCGGTTATGTTGCTGAGGGCTGATTTCTTGTCCTTTGATGAAAAGTCTTCTGTTTCGACTGACAAACCTTTCAGGGAGCATTTGCAATCGTTTCGCACCATTTTTGAGTGAATTGTCAAAAGTCAGATTTTTGCTGAAATTGTGACCCTGGGGCTTAGGGATTTTTCAAAACATATTTTCCGCCCGTTATGTTGCTGAGGGCTGATTTCTTGTCCTGTGATAAAAAGCCTTCTGTTTCGATTGCCAAACATTTTGGGAGAGCATTTGCAAGCGTTTGGCACTATTTTTGAGTGAATTGCCAAAAGTCAGATTTTTGCTGAAATTGAGACACCGGTGCTTAGGGATTTTTCAAAAAATCTTTTCTGCCGGTTAAGTGATCGAGGGCTGATTTCTTGTCCTTTGATGAAAAGCCTTCTGTTTCGACTGCCAAACCTTACAGGGGAGCATTTGCAAGCGTTTGGCACGATTTTTGAGTCAATTTCCAAAAGTCAGATTTTTGCTGAAATTGTGACCCCGGGGCTTAGGGATTTTTTCAAAAAATATTTTCCGCCGGTTAAGTGATCGAGGGCTGATTTCTTGTCCTTTTATGAAAAGCCTTCTGTTTCGACTGCCAAACCTTACAGGGGAGCATTTGCAAGCGTTTGGCACCATTTTTGAGTGAATTTCCAAAAGTCAGATTTTTGCTGAAATTGTGACCCCGGGGCTTAGGGATTTTTTCAAAAAATATTTTCTGCCGGTTATGTTGCTGAGGGCTGATTTCTTGTCCTTTGCTGAAAAGCCTTTTGTTTCGACTGCCAAACCTTTCAGGGAGCATTTGCAACCGTTTGGCACCATTTTTGAATGAATTGCCAGAAGTCAGATTTTTGCTGAAATTGTGACTCCGGGGCTTAGTAATTTTTTCAAAAAATCTTTTCCGCCGGTTAAGTGATCGAGGGCTGATTTCTTTTCCTTTGATGAAAGGCCTTCTGTTTCGACTGCCAAACCTTTCACGGGAGGATTTGCAAGCGTTTGGCACCATTTTTGAGTGAATTTCCAAAAGTCAGATTTTTACTGAAATTGTGACCCCGGGGCTTAGGGATTTTTTAAAAAAATATTTTCCACCGGTTATGTTGCTGAGGGCTGATTTCTTGTCCTTTGATGAAAAGCCTTCTGTTTCGACTGCCAAACCTTTCAGGGGAGCATTTGCAAGCGTTTGGCACCATTTTTGAGTGAATTGCCAAAAGTCATATTTTTGCTGACATTGTGACCACGGGGCTTAGGGATTTTTTCAAAAATATTTTCTGCCGGTTATGTTGCTGAGGGCTGATTTCTTGTTGTTTGATGAAAAGCCTTCTGTTTCGACTGCCAAACCTTTCAGGGAGCATTTGCAAGCGTTTGGCATCATTTTTGAATGAATTGCCAGAAGTCAGATTTTTGCTGAAATTGTGACTCCGGGGCTTAGGGATTTTTCAAAAAATCTTTTCCGCCGGTTAAGTGATCGAGGGCTGATTTCTTGTCCTTTGATGAAAAGCCTTCTGTTTCGACTGCCAAACCTTTCAGGGGAGCATTTGCAAGCGTTTGGCACCATTTTTGAGTGAATTTCCAAAAGTCAGATTTTTGCTGAAATTGTGACCCCTGGCTTAGGGATTTTTCAAATAAATATTTCCGCCGGTTATGTTGCTGAGGGCTGATTTCTTGTCCTTTGATGAAAAGCCTTCTGTTTCGACTGCCAAACCTTTCAGGGGAGCATTTGAAAGCGTTCCGCAGCATTTTTGAAGGAATTGCCACAAGTCAGATTTTTGCTGAAATTGAGACTACGGTGCTTAGGGATTTTTTCAAAAAAATCTTTTTCCGTCGGTTAAGTGATCGGGGGCTGATTTCTTGTCCTTTGTATGAAAAGCCTTCTGTTTCGACTGCCAAACCTTACAGGGGAGCATTTGCAAGCGTTTGGCACCATTTTTGAGTCAATTTCCAAAAGTCAGATTTTTGCTGAAATTGTGACCCCGGGGCTTAGGGATTTTTTCAAAAAAATATTTTCCGCCGGTTAAGTGATCGAGGGCTGATTTCTTGTCCTTTGATGAAAAGCCTTCTGTTTCTACTGCCAAACCTTACAGGCGAGCATTTGCAATCGATAGGCACCATTATTGAGTGAAATCCGACAAGTCAGATCTATGATCAAATTGTGACCCAAGGTCTTAGGGATTTTTTCAAAAAAGTATTTTCCGCCGGTTATGTTGCTGAGGGCTGATTTCTTGTCCTTTGATGAAAAGCCTTCTGTTTCAACTGCCAAACCTTTCAGGGAGCATTTGCAAGCGTTTGGCACCATTTTTGAGTGAATTTCCAAAAGTCAGATTTTTGCTGAAATTGTGACCCGGGGCTTAGGGATTTTTTCAAAAAATGTTTTCCACCGGTTATGTTGCTGAGGGCTGATTTCTTGTCCTTTGATGAAAAGCCTTCTGTTTCGACTGCCAAACCTTTCAGGGGAGCATTTGCAAGCGTTTGGCACCATTTTTGAGTGAATTGCCAAAAGTCAGATTTTTGCTGAAATTGTGACCCGGGGGCTTAGGGATTTTTTCAAAAAAAATTTTCCGCCGGTTATGTTGCTGAGGGCTGATTTCTTGTCCTTTGATGAAAAGCCTTCTGTTTCGACTGCCAAACCTTTCAGGGGAGCATTTGAAACCGTTCAGAACCATTTTTGAAGGAATTGCAAAAAGTCAGATTTTTGCTGAAAGTGTGACCCTGGGGCTTAGGGATTTTTTCAAAACATATTTTCCACCGGTTATGTTGCTGAGGGCTGATTTCTTGTCCTTTGATGAAAAGCCTTCTGTTTCGACTGCCAAACCTTTCAGGGAGCATTTGCAAGCGTTTGGCACCATTTTTGAGTGAATTGCCAAAAGTCAGATTTTTGCTGAAATTGTGACCCGGGGCTTAGGGATTTTTTCAAAAAATCTTTTCCGCCGGGTAAGTGATCGAGGGCTGATTTCTTGTCCTTTGATGAAAAGCCTTCTGTTTCGACTGCCAAACATTTCAGGGGAGCACTTGCAAGCGTTTGGCACCATTTTGAGTGAATTTCCGAAAGTCAGATTTTTGCTGAAATTGTGACCCAGGGCTTAGTGATTTTTCAAAAATATTGACCGCCGGTTATGTTGCTGAGGGCTGATTTCTTGTTGTTTGATAAAAAGCCTTCTGATTCGACTGCCAAACCTTTCAGGAGAGCATTTGCAAGCGTTTGGCACCATTTTTGAATGAATTGCCAGAAGTCAGATTTTTGCTGAAATTGTGACCCCGGGGCTTAGGGATTTTTTCAAAAAATATTTTCCGCCGGTTATGTTGCTGAGGGCTGATTTCTTGTCCTGTGATAAAAAGCCTTCTGTTTCGATTGCCAAACATTTTGGGAGAGCATTTGCAAGCGTTTGGCACCATTTTTGAGTGAATTCCCAAAAGACAGATTTTTGCTGAAATTGAGACCCGGTGCTTAGGGATTTTTTCAAAAAATCTTTTCTGCCGGTTAAGTGATCGAGGGCTGATTTCTTGTCCTTTGATGAAAAACCTTCTGTTTCGACTGCCAAACCTTACAGGGAGCATTTGCAAGCGTTTGGCACGATTTTTGAGTCAATTTCCAAAAGTCAGATTTTTGCTGAAATTGTGACCCGGGGCTTAGGGATTTTTCAAAAAATATTTTCTGCCGGTTAAGTGATCGAGGGCTGATTTCTTGTCCTTTTATGAAAAGCCTTCTGTTTCGACTGCCAAACCTTACAGGGGAGCATTTGCAAGCGTTTGGCACCATTTTTGAGTGAATTTCCAAAAGTCAGATTTTTGCTGAAATTGTGACCCAGGGGCTTATGGATATTTCAAAAAATATTTTCTGCCGGTTATGTTGCTGAGGGTTGATTTCTTGTCCTTTGCTGAAAAGCCTTCTGTTTCGAATGCCAAACCTTTCAGGGGAGCATTTGCAACCGTTTGGCACCATTTTTGAATGAATTGACAGAAGTCAGATTTTTGCTGAAATAGTGACTCCAGGGCTTAGTAATTTTTCTAAAAAATCTTTTCCGCCGGTTAAGTGATCGAGGGCTGATTTCTTGTCCTTTGATGAAAAGCCTTCTGTTTCGACTGCCAAACCTTTCAGGGAGCATTTGCAAGCGTTTGGCACCATTTTTGAGTGAATTTCCAAAAGTCAGATTTTTACTGAAATTGTGACCCGGGGCTTTGTGTTTTTTTCTAAAAAATTATTTTCCGCCGGTTATGTTGCTGAGGGCTGATTTCTTGTCCTTTGATGAAAAGCCTTCTGTTTCGACTGCCAAACCTTTCAGGGGAGCATTTGCAAGCGTTTGGCACCATTTTTGAGTGAATTGCCAAAAGTCAGATTTTTGCTGAAATTGTACCCGGGGCTTAGGGATTTTTTCAAAAATATTTTCTGCCGGTTATGTTGCTGAGGGCTGATTTCTTGTTGTTTGATGAAAAGCCTTCTGTTTCGACTGCCAAACCTTTCAGGGAGCATTTGCAAGCGTTTGGCATCATTTTTGAATGAATTGCCAGAAGTCAGATTTTTGCTGAAATTGTGACACCGGTGCTTAGGGATTTTTCAAAAAATCTTTTCCGCCGGTTAAGTGATCGAGGGCTGATTTCTTGTCCTTTGATGAAAAGCCTTCTGTTTCGACTGCCAAACCTTTCAGGGGAGCATTTGCAAGCGTTTGGCACCATTTTTGAGTGAATTTCCAAAAGTCAGATTTTTGCTGAAATTGTGACCCGGGGCTTAGCGATTTTTTCAAATAAAAATTTCCGCCGGTTATGTTGCTGAGGGCTGATTTCATGTCCTTTGATTAAATGCATTCTGTTTCGACTGCCATACCATTCAGGGTAGCATTTGTAACCGTTCAGAAGCATTTTTGATTGAATTGCATAAAGTCAGATTTTTGCTGAAATTGAGACACCGGTGCTTAGGGATTTTTTTCAAAAAAATCTTTTTCCGCCGGTTAAGTGATCGAGGGCTGATTTCTTATCCTTTTGATGAAAAGCCTTCTGTTTCGACTGCCAAACCTTTCAGGGGAGCATTTGCAAGCGTTTGGCACCATTTTTGAATGAATTGCCAAAAGTCAGAGTTTTGCTGAAATTGTGACCCCGGGGCTTAGGGATTTTTCAAAAAATCTTTTCCGCCGGGTAAGTGATCGAGGGCTGATTTCTTGTCCTTTGATAAAAGCCTTCTGTTTCGACTGCCAAACATTTCAGGGAGCACTTGCAAGCGTTTGGCACCATTTTGAGTGAATTTCCAAAAGTCAGATTTTTGCTGAAATTGTGACAACGGGGCTTAGTGATTTTTTCAAAAAATATTGACCGCCGGTTATGTTGCTGAGGGCTGATTTCTTGTTGATTGATAAAAAGCCTTCTGATTCGACTGCCAAACCTTTCAGGAGAGCATTTGCAAGCGTTTGGCACCATTTTTGAATGAATTGCCAAAAGTCAGATTTTTGCTGAAATTGTGACCCTGGGGCTTAGGGATTTTTTCAAAAAATCTTTTCCGCCCGGGTAAGTGGTCCGAGGGCTGATTTCTTGTCCTTTGATGAAAAGCCTTCTGTTTCGACTGCCAAACCTTTCAGGGAGCATTTGCAATCCTTTGGCACCATTTTTGAGTGAATTCCCAAAAGTCAGATTTGTGCTGAAATTGTGACCCCGGGGCTTAGGGATTTTTTCAAAAAAAAAAATTTCCGCCGGTTATGTTGCTGAGGGCTGATTTCTTGTCCTTTGATGAAAAGCCTTCTGTTTCGACTGCCAAACCTTTCAGGGGAGCATTTGAAACCGTTCAGAACCATTTTTGAAGGAATTGCAAAAAGTCAGATTTTTGCTGAAAGTGTGACCCTGGGGCTTAGGGATTTTTTCAAAACATATTTTCCGCCGGTTATGTTGCTGAGGGCTGATTTCTTGTCCTTTGATGAAAAGTCTTCTGTTTCGACTGTCAAACCTTTCAGGGGAGCATTTGCAATCGTTTGGCACCATTTTTGAGTGAATTTCCAAAAGTCAGATTTTTGCTGAAATTGTGACCCT